AGGGAGGGAGGGAGGGAGGGAGGGAGGGAGGAAGGAAGGAAGGAAGGAAGGAAGGAAGGAAGGAAGGAAGGAAGGAAGGAAGGAAGGAAAAGAGAGAACCGCTACAATAATCAAGATCGTGTAGTATTCGGGAAGCAACAATCAGATCAATAGAACAGGGACCCCAGAAATAAAACAAAATAAACTCGGAAACTCAAAGACGAAGAGTGTGGTCAAATGATCGGAAGAACCTAGGCGTTTGTATGCAAAAGAATTAACTGGGCAGACTTTACAAATTTCACATTGATCTGTGAAATGCTAAGTTCATAACTTCTAGAAAGTAACACACAAAGTTGACAACCTAGAGATTAGCAACTTTCCGGAGCATCATCAGGAGCACGACTGTGCACCGAACAATGACGTCACCGAGGCGAAAGCTCGGCGCTGCCGGTTCAGCCTCCGACCCCGGCAGGACGGAGAGCGACCCGCGGGGCTGACCAGGACACACGGAGCCTGGACGCAAAGGACGCCGGTCCAGCTGCCGGCCCCGCCCCGCCCCGCCCGGGGAGGACCCAGCACAGCCCGCTCGGGCCCTGCGGCCGCTGCTCCCGTCTGGACACAGCCCGCCCCACGCTCACCATGGCCCGGCTTCCGGCTTCGCCCGCGCTCTCGGCACAGCTCCTGGTTGGGGCGCTCAGGGCGCTGTGCAGCGGCCCGACTGGAGCACCTCCCTCACCGCGCAGCAGAATCCGCAACATGGCGGCCCTGGAGAGCCCGCCTCCCACCGCTCCAGGGTCCTCCTGATTGGACGGCCCGTTCTGAGGCCGTGATTGGTTAAGGAGGCCTGAGTAACGGAAGCAGCTCCCTGCCTTGGGTGTGTGGAACTAAAATGACAGGGACAGCTACAGTCCCTCCACGGCCTGGCGGCCTGGCGGCTGCCCCACAATCTCCTAGCGCAGCTGCGTGGAGATTACCACTGAAGCAGAATTGGCTTCTGCCTCCCAGAGCTGGCCCTGCTGCAGTCTTGCTCTCAGTAGATATTTCCTGTTCTTCCTTTTGGCCACCGGTGACTAGTGTGCACAGCCAATTACACATTCATTGTCCTTTGAAGTGGTCCCACTGCTTCACAACTGGAAGTGGCCAGCTCACCCCTGGTGAAATTGGAACAAGACTTGATGTCCTCCAGTCATCAGGAATTTCAGTAAGGCATGCTAAGGATGCTCACACGTGATTTCCTGACGTATATTTCAGCCAAAAAAAAATAATCCACGTATTCCCCCCACTTTTTTTAAAACTATTTTATATGTATATGTGTATTGCCTGCATGTATGTAAGTGCACCTGTGTCATACAGTGCCCTCAGAGGACCGAAGAGGCCCTCAGACCTGGAGTTACGGACAGTTGTTAGCTACTATGTGGGTGCTGGGATTTGAATCCAGGTCTTCTGTAACAACAGCCAATGTTCTTAAGCGCTGAGCCATCTCTCCAGACCCTCCCTCCATTTTCATAGCATAGGTATTTTACCAAACCATTCCAGTTAAGACCTTTGTTCCCCTCACCTGGTCCCCGCCAGTGCCCCTCTCTCCCTTCCAGGCCTCTACAGACATTTCAATTTAGTTATGTAGTTTAATTTCATGCTATGAGTGTTTTCCTTCATGTATATAAGTGCAGCTACAGGGAGATCCTGTCGCAAAAAAAAAAAAAAAAAAAAAAAAAAAAAAAATTTGTGCCGGCCATGGTGTGCACACCTTTAATCCCTGCACTTGGGAGGCAGACATAGGCAGATATGAGAGATCCAGACAGGGACTCCCTGTAGCCCCGGTGGGCCTGGAACTTGATATGTAGACCAGGCTGGCCTTGAATCACAGAGATCTGTCTGCCTCTGCCTCCCAAGAGGAGTGTTGGGACTAAAGGAGTGCATCACCACGCCCAGCTCAAAAAAAAAATTTTTTTTTTAAGTGAAGAGGTTATAAAGAGATGGTTCTCTTGGATGGTTAACTAGCACTATGGGTTGTAACCTGGGCTCCTAATTGTATTCTGTTATTATATTAATATTTATTTTAGCCGGGTGTGGTGACACACACCTGCAGTCTCAGCACTTGGGAGGCAGAGGCAGGCAGATCTCTGTGAGTTCAAGGCCTGCCTGGTCTACACAGTGAGTTCCAGTCCAGCTGGGGCTACAGGGAAACCCTGTCTCAAAAAGACCAAAAAAAATTTTTTTTTATTTTAGGCACAGGGTGTTGTAGCCCATGCTGCCCTCCAAATCATGAACCTCCTCTTTCAACCTCCCAAATACTGAAATTACAGGTATACATCACCATACCCTGTGTGATTTCAATTCTGGGAATATCCCCCCTTGCCTCTGAAATTTTTTATCTAAAGATGTTGTTGATTAACTGTCTAGTGGTTTGGTCTCAAATGTCCCTCATCACCATCTGTCCCTCATCTGTTCCAATTGGTCTGATCTGATCCCACATTAGGGAAGGGACAGATGTTAAAGAGTCAGTCCAGTAAAATTCTTTTGTGTCCAATTTAAACAACTCAGTATAGAAGGAGTGACTCTAAAGCTGTCCCCACCTGCAGCCCGTTCCTAAGTTTAATTCTGTCTGTCCTGTGGGTGATATTCTACAGTCAGGTTGGCATAGGTATGAAGAACAGAGGGAAGAGGATGGAGTGGATTGGCTTTCTGGGGTGTACTAGTTACTTTTCTGTTGCTGTGATAGCATACCCTGACAAAAAAAAAAACAACTTAAGGGAGGAAGGCTTTATTTTGGCTTACAGTTCCAGAAAGGATACAGTTTATCATGGTGGGAAGGCATGACAGCAGGAATGTGAGGCCAGCTGAGCGGTCAGGAAGCAGAATGATCACATTTCATCCACACACAGGAAACAGAGAACAGAAAGTAAGATGAGGCTATGAACCCTCAAAGACCACCACCAATGACCTACTTCATCCAGCAAGGCTCTACCTTCTAAAGTTACATAACCTTCCCAAACAGCTCCACTGCGTGGGGACTAAGTGTTCAACTACAAGACTCTGGGGGCATTTCTCATTCAAACCCACTGCAGGGTACAAAGCACTCTTGTTTAATCTTAGCTCTCTGGCAGAATATCTGAAGCAACAAATGATCATGAGAAGTCATAACTGGGTCAAAAGATCATGTACAACTCTGGGTCAAGCTAATTTCATGCACAAATATAGGCTGGAGGGAGACAGACTTTAAAATTAGCCAATTTGGGAAAGGAGAGGTGGCTCAGTGTGTAACTGTGCTTGCCACCAAGCCTGACAGCCTGAGTTCAATCCACAGAGCCTATATGGTGGAAGGAGAGGACCAACTCCCACAAGTTGTCCCCTGACTTCCACACATCCCTGGGTGTTGACGGCAACATCCTGGAAAGACAGAACAAAAGTCTACTCATCCCAACTAAGGAACCAACGACAGATCACAGAAAGGATACCACCAGAATCCAACTTGGTGAACTACTGAGTTTAATTGGGGTTACTTGTTGGAATTTGGATGAGGGGTTACTTACAGGAGCAGAAATGAGTCAAAGACAGATGCATCACCAAAACCCCACCCGAGAAAAGGTGATAGCTTATGAAAGCTGGAAACCCAGAGCTCAGTACAGGCAGCTGAGCAGGTTGGAGAGAGTACTTTCCAGATAGCTGAGTTGCTCTCTTCTTCTTCCAAGTGTCTCAGCATGTCTCTGATTCTTCCAGGAAGTTCAGCTGGTGTGAGAATGTCTCTCAGCAGTCCTTAGGGCTTATATATGCTGGCGGGGGCGGGGGGCGGTATTAGTATATCTGGAAAGTTTCAGAGACTTTCTGAAGCTATTGAGTTGTTTTTGCTCCTTGAGCATAAGGAGCTTCCCTGAAGGGTGGAATGTTTCGCCTTCCCTCAAAACATCCTGTTTGGGGCTGGAGAGATGGCTCAGCAGTTAACATTGGCTGTTCTTGCAGAAGACCAGCGTTCGAATCCCAGCCTCCACATGGCAGCTAACAACTGTCCGTAATTCCAGTCCCAGGGGATCCGACAGCCTCTTCTGACCTCCACAGGCATTTCACGACATGGGTGCACTTACCTACATGCAGGCAATACATGCATACACATAAAATAAAAATAATAAACATTTTTTTAAAAAATCCTGTTTATCTCCCTTTAGAACACCTTGTTTTTACCCTGCTTCCTTCCAGGAGGAAAGGTTTTGTTTTTTGTTTGCTTTTTAAAAAATTATTACTTTTATGTGTATATTACCTGTGTAAGGGCACACATGTTGTGCAATGCCCATAGAGGTGAGAAGAGGTCATTTGATCCCTTGGAGCTAGAGTTACAGATTGTTGTCAGCTACCATGTGGGTTCTGGGAACTGATCCTAGGTCCTCTGCAAGAGCAGCCAGTGCTCTTAACTGCTGAGCCATCTCTCCAGCCCTTGTATTTGTTTTTGAGATGAGCTGGCCCTGGAACTTGCTATGTAGACCAGGCTGGCCTCAGTTTCTTAGAGATCTGCCTGTCTCTGCCTCCCAAATCCTGGGATTAAAAACCCTCACAAAATACACAACACACAAAATAATCTTTTTTGCTATAATCCCGGCTCTGGGGAGGCAAAAGTTAGGAGGACCCCTGGGGCTTGCTGTCCAGGTAACAATGCCAAATTGGTGAGATTCAGGTTGAGTGAGAGACTGTGTTTCAAAAAATAAGGTGGAGGGATCTGGTAAAAAATATCCAAGTAGGTGGTACTGGTAAATCAATCATGGTGTTTCAAAGGGCCAAATACATAAGGAAACTACTGAATTTTTATTTGACTTGTGCCGGTGTCAGCCGGCCTTAGAAATGAACAGCACCTGAAGGGGGAAGCGAGGATGAAAGAAAAACAAGAGACAGAGAAAAGATACTGGGAGGACTGTCAGTAGAGACTGCAGCCCCGGTTTATTTCAGCTCAGCCTTCTTACACAGCAGATCATCAGACAGCCACCGTTTGCTTAGCTCAATTAGCTTCAACAGCTCTTTTTTCCCACCTTTATCTGAGGGTCAAGGAACGGTCAAATACTTGTAGTGAATTCCACCAATTAACCATCTTCCCTAAATTATCAACACATTCCTCCTGACTTGACAGAACAATTCAGTGCTTGTGTGTAAAACACAAACTCTTGAGTCAAGGTGAAAGGCCATAAAGTAAATAAGCAAGCTCAATGTACATAATGGCTGTGCTTATATTAATAGCTCCCAACAGATCTGTATAAGCAGAAAAGCTCTAGAACAAATGACAGAAAGTCAACATTGGATCATAGCAATAGAACCCCATTCAGTCAACCAATTTCCAGACTTGAGGAAGTTTACAGATCTAGAACCCCTTGAATGAAGGGAAGACCAGGTTCCCTTGAGGAAGGACCTTGTCATAATACCAAAGAGTTATATTGTCTTTCTCCCATCCTTCCCCAGAGGGACCTGTGGCCTTTTACTAGAGTAACTGTACATTCAGGAAAAGGAAATAATCAGACTTTCCTATTGGATTCTGGTTGTGAGTTGACACTGATTCCAGGAGACCCTAAAAAGCATTGTGGCCCTCCAGTTAAAGTAGGAGCTTACGGAGATCAAGTGATAGAGTTTTGGCTCAAGTTTGACTCACAGTGAGTACAGTGGGTCCCTGAACTCACCCTGTGGTTATTTCTCCAGTCCCAGAATGTATAACTGGGATATACTTATAAATTGGCACACCTTTATCTGAATTTTTCATAGTTTATATTCCAGGTAGGGGAAATAGAGTAACTCGCA